CAGCGGTGCGGAGAACCGACGACAACTCTCAGGTCGCGGCCCATTCGACGAGACCCGGCCACACATTCAAGTTCGATGAGGCCAAAATTCCCGCGAGAGGGGGTAATCTCGTGAGCTGCGTGTTGCTTAAGTCATGGTTCACGGGACCTCAGTCTATCAACAAGTGCAACGACATCCCCACTCCATATTCCGTGCTGAAACATAGTCTAGTCAAAGTAATTAACCATTCAGGGAGCGCGCAGGCCGGTGAACCAGATGGTCGAGCAATCATCACGTTAGCATCCAACACGGGTAATGGGGTTTTAGCAATTAACAACTTGCATGCTGGCCATCAAACAATTATCGCGCCAGGGGGCAACAACTCTTGATGAAGAGAAGAGCGGTTAATTACCATAGGTATGCGGTGGCATAGCGACTGCATCGTATAAATACTGCAACTTCCTGTGCACGAGTCACTCTTTTCTGCCACTGTCACTGATGATGGATTCAAGTGAGAATCCGAAACGTCAGACAAATAAAACTCTTGTTCCAGCGATCGCTTCTTCTTCTTCTTTTTCTTCTTCTTCTTCTTCTTCTTCTTCTTCTTCTTCTTCTTCTTCTGATAAACTAGTTCCTGGAACTCGCATCTTCGCTGGTATCGAGAACCTTACCTGCCCTCTGTCATGTCCACTTCACAAAGCTAAACGTGGTGTTGCGGGGGGTATTGGGGACGAGATTGTGCACAGAAACAGGGACAAGTCTGAAATCGCACGCAGACATGACGGTCGTCGTCGACAAAAAGTCGATTTTGGCCTAATTGCATGCACAGTCCCCGTACAGACGCATTGTCCGGAAATATCACCGCGTTGGTGTGGGTTGTTTGATCGGAAGCTGCCCGGTCGCAACATCCACAAACAGCTGGCCGTTTATAGTGCATTCCGTTGATCACCAGATGTGAACTCTCCGAACATGATGGGAATAACAGACAGTCAAGCATAGGCAATAGGTGGAGCTGTTTCTCATTCAGCTCGTATTCGGTAGAGGCGCTCTTGAGCAGATAAACCCCGGATCATCTAAAAGTACGGTCTCATTAAGAAAAACTTTTTATTATTGACGCCCATTTATTTCTGACCAGAAAAAAAGTTTTTGCGAAAAATTCGCATATCCTTGTCATTTTATAGGTATCGATGTCTTTAATTTACTTCGAATTGATGTTAGATAGAACAGTGAAGGAGTTCCACAGCGAAAAATATTAATAAACATGTAATGATAACTGCCAGTGCTAGACGAAGAAATTGATTCCTTATTTGCCCCCTGGACGGGTTTTTTCGTCCTATCTGGAAGATCTGGTAAACCATTGGGTATCTAGAACAGGCGACTGCCCTCCACACGGAGGCCATATGCATGACTATACAGTCTGAGGTCACGAATATGGAAAATAAATTGTTGTCCATTTAAGTTGTTTCAGTTGGCCCCGTTGGCAGAAGCCGTTTTGGCTTGTGATGCACTCCCCGGATGCCAGTTGGGTAGGGGACGAAAGTATGTTCTCCCTGTATTACGTGTGGCCTTGCTTTAAATTCCTAGGAGTACGATTAGCAATAGGGTAAGGATTAAGAGGGTTACCGTTATGGTTACGGCTGTAAGAGTTTGCGTTAGGGGTCAGCGTCTAACCGCCACTTACGTACGCTGGGCAAACCTACAATTGCAAGTAACTTTTAACACTCAGTTATAGTTATTTTTGGCCCAAATAGAGCACTCATTTACTCCGGTGTTATCGGCTGCCCGGGAGATTTTTGGTGACATACTGATGAGCGGAACCCTTTACAGCTGTGTCAGTTAAACATGTGTCTGAGCTTTTAGTCAGTGTCTGTGGCACAAGTACACTAAAGTCCCTTTCTGTGTATATTCCGTAAAAGTTGTCGATGTTTTTTTTTAATAAGATCGTATTACCTGACTGAGAGTTTTAATAGGATAGAGCCAGCATTTAGATTTGCACGGTTTCATTCCAGGTCATGCTCCATACATTCATTGCTTGCGTCTCCTGTCAGGAGATGTTTAGCTAAACAGAAAACTAAGGTTCTTGGTGAATTTTTTTATAATTGTGAGACCAATTTGGGCTAGATCGCAGTTGGTAGCCCGGAATGGGAAGCGGACGACGACCTTAACCCTAATCCCAACCTCAACCGTTACCGTTAGCCGTTAACCCTAACGGCAACCCTAACCCTAGCCGAAATTGTAAACGTAACCGTATCCCTTAGACAGCCGTAACTGAGAAACCTAACCGTAATATTAGTACCTATTCGTACGCTCAAATCCTAACCATAACCCGAAAACCTAAGTCTAAAGGCATAACCCTAACCGCAAAATCGAAAACCATTAACCGGTACCCTAATCCTAACCTCAAGCGTAAAACGGAAGCCAAATGTGTCAGATGTGAATATGGAGCCCCACAAAATAACCACAGTAAACAAACCCCCCCAGCCACCTGTAATGCGGGTCCGGATTACCAACTGCGATCTAGCCCCAATTTGATCCGGAAAAGTCAGCAAATTTATCAGGATGTTCATCTGTACAACCGCGTTAAGCTAATTATGGAAAATGGTTTTCTCTGAAGAAATATTTACTGCTTTTCTTCAGATGATAAGTGGCGCACTGAAGCTGAAGTCGGCTCTTCTGATTCATCATGCGCTAAGAACCAAAATATGGTTATTTCTCTCGAGACTTCAAAATATTCTTATCTTTGCATTAAGTCCGGTCCCCACTAGCCGCCTGACGCTAAAAATCGAACATTATCGATAAAAAGATAAAGGCTGAAATCACAAAAGTGGAAAACAGTATCAGCTTCTGGGGGATTACTGGTCCAACTGCTCACATGTAACTGAGCCTTCATCATTGGAGGATTTAACAGTACTGCTATCCCCAGAAGTTAGGAATGACCTCAATGATTCTGACGATGTCCCTACTGACAGGATTGTCGTCTGGCCAAGGTTGCTAGACGGATCAGTGATCTGTGCTACCGCCGGAGTCGTGCTCAGATAGCGAGTCTAAGCCATCATTGCCTACTGCTGAGTGTACTGTCGTTGATCCCGAGACTGGCTGCACTGCTGATGTGATGGCCCAAAAATTCGGGAGAATTGCCTCGCAACACGCGTTAATTAGGCTGCGCAACAGTCATTGGCTGACTGGCTCAGGATTGTCAATCAGATGACAAAAGCTCTTTCTTACTGTGAACTTCACGGCTCTTAATGGCCACGCCTTTTGGTCTGGTATATTCAGTGGAGACCAGTTCTTGTGTGGCCAGCGCCCACCTTTGTTGGTCTGGAAATTTTACGGTCATCGAGGGCATGCGGATGAAGGAGGAGCGAGTGAGGTAGATGCTGTACAAGTCTGCCCCGCTGCAATCTGATTCCTACACCAGTCATTGGGTCTACGCCTATTTGTGGGGCACGAAGTTGAAATAGTCCCTATTGACAGTTGAACCGAACACTGTAGTCTATCAGCAATCTCAACACGGAGGCAACAGCATTAGGATTTATGTACATTATCCGGTAATTGGCTCCGCAGTTCTGTATTGCATCCACCCCCGCACTCATGCTCCGCCGATCTTCTCCTTGCCGAGTTGCCTTTTTGCAATATTCACGTTAGATTCTGTAAGCGTGTAGTAGGATAATAAATCGGCTGGCACGTATCGAATGCGTGTGCTTCCCCGATCATATGGCGACTCCTTCGATTAGAAATCTCGCCGTCCTCAAGGACAGAGAAGTGCTACTTTTCTCCACCGTCTTGACTATATGTCCACGAAACCTGCCGGCGAACTAATGGATCTTATTCATAGTTACTGCATAGAAAATTTCGCCTCATGGCAGAGGTTTTTTGGAACAAAGACCGATCGTCAGACTTGTTATTTAGCGTCTGTGGTTGACTGCGACTTGCAGACTTCGGAAGTGATGCAGGTGTAAGCATGCTTCTGACCCTTAACCAATCACCACCGGCTAGCTGTTTCCGTCCGTTTAAGCTCTCTTAAATTCGCGTCTTTCAAATTGCGCGGTCTGTTCGGACAGCTTGTTGGCACAATGAAACAAACGTATGCCAACAACGTGTGTTTTCTCAGTGTCTTCCACAGGTCCTGCTTATTATTGCTACCTTCGTCCCAATCATAACAATCCTACTCTCGTTTTTCTGTTATCATAGAAGTTCCTGTACTTCATTTTTTCCAGTGGCGATACATAATTAGTCCTTGGCGATTTATTATGCGGCTGGAATTTCGGAGATCTTGGTCCGCTTACCGTTGTCAAAGCGCTTAATGCGCAAAATCGAACGGAAATTCAAGTGGCTTGGTAGAATTAATTAAAATCCCCGACGAATCAGTTAACGTCAGGAAACAGTCGATTCTCTAAAATAAATACAGACATGTGCCATAGATAGGTTATTTTAATCAAGGTCATGTTCACGACTAGGTAGTTAATCAAACCACCGGCTTTTTGTCTCTGGGGTAGTCGCCGCGCTAATCTTAGGTTGTTTGTTTTAAGTACAAAACTTTGCCGTGATGTTCTGACACTACATTTTGTACCGCATCTCAGGGGTTTGCTTTCACGTCACGTTTATTAAAAAATATTTTAGGAAATGACGGTAGAATGCTCTTCTAAAGACGTTAGCAACCCACAGGAAATCAAGGAACTCGACGTCTTTCCGAAATTTACCTACTGCGTTGGAAGATTCCAGTACTCGACAACCGTTAAACTATATGTCCACAATCTCCTCGAGTACGTGGATGGGGTCTTTCAGTCGAAAACGGTTAGTACCAGCATTTGGTACTGTACAAGTAAATGATTTTATGCTTACAATTTTTATGTCCTTAATTTGAGAGTCGCATTTCTTGCCTTTAAAATGTATAATACCCCTACTGTGTTTTACAGAAATTTCAAAATCATTTGGACTTGCAAGAGTCGGAAAATTTGTCGAGTTCTTGCAGTCAGTCGACGAATAATTATCCGCTTCGTGAACTCTACAGACCCATCGAAATGCCGTAAGTCATTTGGTTCTGCTTATTCATTTAGACCAACGACCAAGTTGATAAACGTCCGCTAGGACTGTCAAAAACACCTGCAAAATAAATTGATTATAGTTATGGGTGAAAGTAGTGTATTTTAAAGGATCACAATAACACTTAAAGACATAGCGCTAATCTGCACGCAAACTTGAATAGATTTCTGCCTTATATGATAACTTTTACCAAGGTTAGTGGAATATACCTGTTTGCGATGCCGAAGCAAGTGGTTGGAGTTGGAAATCACGTGTTCAAGGGCGCATGACTAAATAATCGGGTCAAGCTGCCCAATCCACCAGTATTTTCGGAACAGTAGGATCTAACAAAAACACCGCTTGTTTTGCACAACGTACGCAGATTAGTAAACTAAACGGTTTCAGTATTTTTAGACATCACTCGCCTGGACGACCTTCACAGGGGGCCAATCAGAGCGGAGCAAACCCATGGGCGCCGTTCGTTTATATCTGCACGTAGCCATTGCTGGACAGCAGTCAGACCGAGGGAAAAGTCGCAGCTAATTTAAGAAGAATTTCGACGCATAGCGAGATCATGCAGAATAATTATATAATAATTAATTTACCACTGGATGCCGGCTTTCGAACGAACTTCTTTCAGGCCGCATGCAAAAACGACTACTTAATTAGCATGCGTTTTACTCATTGATTTTCAGAGCCTTTAAAAACTCAATTATATTTCATGGAAAACACGCATAAAAATATTCATTTGTTTATTTGCTTGGTAGAAAATTACGTCACCTTCCAATTTTATACTCAAAGGTTAGGTAAAATTCTGTTTTCAAAAAGTTTCTAACAGTGACATTCTTTATTGACGTGAAATGCTCGTTCATAAAACGTCATGCCTCTGCATTTGCTAACGTGGCTTGTAAAGTTTTGAATCCGACTCAAATCCACTGCTACATTTCCTGAACCCCATATGGTTTTCTCCTAATGCTGTAGAGGAATGGGCGGTTTACCGTGCGCGGAAAATATACGGCTCGTAGTTTGGAAACCATGGATGCAAGTTTAACGGCAGCTCGGATTCAAAATTATTCGGAATTGAAAAGGTTTTTGAAAGCTGAATTATACCTTAGAGTCGACGACGGCAAGGGTGATAATTTGTGATGCAAGTAGCCGAGGCTGACATGGAAAAGACAACCTGATGTACCACAAATCTGCCGCGAGATTGAAGGAGGTCTAGAATCCCCGCAAAAGACCTGGCTGACGGAACACACGGGGCAGCACGGTAAACCCAACCGTAACCTCAAAAGAATGCCTAGTCCTTAACGTAATTATAAACCTAACGCTAGCCCTAAACTTGACACTAAACCTAAATCACAAACCCTAGCCCTAAACCTAACCTTAACCCTGACCCAAATTCTAATTCCAACCTTGACCGTAACACAAATCCCAACCTCAACCCCAACCCAAACCCTAACTTTAACCGTTACCTTACCACAACCCTAACACTAATCGTAAACCTTAGACGCAATCCAAACCCTACATTTAACCGGAATCCTTAAACTTAATACAAACCCAAAACCTAAACTCAAGTCTCAGCCTGACACTAACCCAAACTGTTATTAACGACAAAGACAAGGGAGACTAGAATGGCCATTTCTGGCCTATTAGCCGTCATCAGCCAGTCATACCCAACCCCGAAGCGTGGTACACCTGGGGCTCAAACTCGCGACCTGTTAGTTCGAAGTCCACGCCTCTGGCCACTGGGCCACGTGCCCGTTGTCCTGTCGGTTTCGATCTGGAAGATACAATAGAAGAGGGGCGCTCACCGATCGTTCTTACGGAACTCACACTTTCCGTTGTGTCTTACGGGCTCTCACTCGGAACGAGTAAGTTCCGTAAGAACGACCGGTGAGCGCCCCTCCATATATTCCCGATCGAAGTCGACAGGATAGGGACTTGTCTGTATTAAATGTGATAATGTTTCCTATGACACGAGTTTCATTGTAGCCAGTAGTAGGCTAGCGGGCGGAAAGAATGGGATCAAGTGAGATCCTAACCGAAGCAGTGAGGGTCAAACGCTTACATAACTTTTCTGATTGCCCAAAAATCCTCGACGAATAAAATATCAACTTTTCCCGTCTACACATTAAGCCCAACCAGTCGTGAATATGAATTGCTCCGGTCAAAAGCTAAGTGGCGCAGACAAATGGTCCTAGATTCGGCAGCCAGTCGGTCCAACACATTCGACAAAGACGGATGTGACAATTTCCACGCGGGCAACGTCGAAGATGATGATATCCCCAGAGCTTTCCTTACTGAACTGCCACATTCGGCGAGCCGGTGTTTCAATAGTCCGAGATCCCAAACGTCTTCATCCCGGTCGGCCGATGAGACCATAATCATCAGGACTCCGAAGGAAACTGTTCGGTCAGTGACTTCTGGAAAGTGGTCAAAACAGAAGTCGCAAGCCATAACAGCTGAAAAGGTAACTGCCAACTTTCTTCCGAACATCCATGGCTGTTTTGTACATATGTATATAAAGCAGATTATAAAGTTCAGATACCTCGAGCCGGCATTACCTATCCATACGAACCTTCCGTTGCTAATTTCGCCTACTAAATAGTTCAAACGAAGTTTCTATGATAAAAGTGTGTGGTTATTATAATAGATGATGAAAAATGAGCCGATCCAAACCAATAATATTAGGGCAAATGAAAGAAAACTGACTCAGTTGTGATCTAAACATTGAAAAACAATGTTTTCCCCTTCGTGACTTGTGTTCAAACAGCCGGGATTCTGTTCATAACATTTGGGGCCTGGCTGTATTTTATTCGAGAAACGGTTATCAGAGCGTGCGATAGTTTAGAAAAATATCCACACCGCCAGGCGGATATCCTGGAAAAGCTGACATAAGGGCGCAAAAAAAACTTTTTTTTGGTTTCCAGCTCAGGCCAGTACTTGTTTTTCACTTTCTGCTAACTAGCATTATTTAAACTTATAATTTTAAGCCTAGCACTCATCTGACGTTAAAGGACTCCAATCTCTATTTGCAGACAGTTGACGTGACTGACATGGCAGAAGATCTTCAAGGTAAGCTGTTAGGTTTTTAAATTTCTGCTATTCACATCGCCATCTTCAGGGAACTGTCAGGAAAGTACCAATTCCTGCCTGTCACTTACTCGAAACTCTTCACCTTCTGCTTCTCTGTAACAACAGCTTTCTGTTAGCAAACTCGGCGATGTGATGTTGGAGAGAAGTTACGGCGCGAAGCCTGGTTCTTTCCACGCTAGCCACTGACAGTCAATAACGCGGTTTTTAACGGTGTCCTAGGACCGCGGTAGTTGAGCATTCCTCCAGACTCCCCGTGCCAGATGTGGGAAGCGTGCGGGGGGTAATCCACATGTAACGAAAACCGGATGCATCCATCGAGCTATTTTGCAACCGCTCACTTCTTGAAAACTACTCACTGTATCATGAGACCGGCTCCAGTGGAGCGGAGGCGGCTAGCAGGTTAATGCGATAGGTCTATTCTTAAACTATAATTTGTCAGTGACAGCGCTTATCGTACAACAACTTCTAGCAAAACTTCTTACGACTTGGCCGTGTTTTTCACAAATAAGTCAATCAGGGCGGCAGATACTGCACAGGTCTGGGAACGACACTGGCTGAAATGTGCCCCACAACACGGTTGTCTGAGCACGCATCAGATTATAGTGATAGTGGACTTGCGCCGCCTCTACCGCACGCCCTCATCCCTCACTCACCTGTGCCTAGTAGCATGATCGAGCCAGGACGGCCGGAGTTGGGATCGGAGGCTGACAGGGTTGAAGAGCCCATCTACGCGTGCCACACACGGCAGTATATCGGTCAGTATATTTGGATTAAACGACAGAAGCCCTGAAAACTCAATTCAGACGGTACAGATGTAAGGTAAAATAGCTAAGTTGCAAAAATTTGGCCTGCGGTTGTAGTAAGAAGGATTCATAAGTCTAATAATGGAACATAAATGCGAAAGGGGTATGGTATTCGCGAAATAATTGCAAAAAACTTTGTTCACCGTATTCGGACTGTGAAAATTTCCATATGGGTCAAGTTTGACGCATAAAAAGGATCTCTTGAAATCATATTAGTAGCATATGTATAGTCATTTCAGTAATCCATTAGATCAGGATTCGACAGTTCGGGTTGCCTTTCAGCAGGCGAGTATCCAATTTCCCCTTGAACACACTCACGGTAGGGGAATTAAGAACATAGTCCGACAAAGAGTTCTTTTGGCGAATGACCCTCTGTGAGAAGAAGGAGGAACGTTGATTTGTGTGATTTTCTAAAAGCACGTCAAAATATTTGTACCGTGGGAATGGAGTCCGCAGGGTCGGCTCCACTCTCCCTTCCCTCTCTCACGCACCAGCAGACTGTCTAAGCTGGTCTGCCGTCAAGCGCAGGGACTTGGGGCAAGTGGCCGACGCGGCCAACGCGGCGAGTGCCTGCGCCTAGGTGTGCCACCACAGCTCGCATTTGTTACGCCGGAATAACGCGCGCCTTCGTTGACTTGCTAGATTTTCGATTGAATTCTCTGATATACGCATGAAGGTGGGCCGTATGCCTCTGCTTATCTTGAAATAAAACCCCATTGTCACATAGTTGGTGACTTTTCCGGCAAGCCAAGCGTCTTCTCCTTTCTATGGGAAAATCAGAGGAGACTTTGGTGCACGCTGCCTATAAATAAACCTTAGACGTGCGTTCTGATACTGTTTGTCATCAGATGAGGTAAGCGTTTCTCAGTTAGTGTTCTGATCGCCTGCCAGTACGCGATCTCGTCATTATTTAGGGCTGGACGGGACCGGACGCTGCCATGACTCATCAAATGGGACAGTACCTTTCAGGTCCACTTTGAGTGATCCACCGAGCTATATTTCGACTTCAACACATCGTCTGAGTCTTAATTACTTACTACTTTTGGTTCGAAACCTTCGAGAGGTACACTTGATGATCAATCACGGCACCCATGCCCGCCCCACCTCTGCGTATTCTGACCACACGCTGACCTGTACAAGGTGAGTTCCACTTGGAATTAAACACTCCGTCCTTCAGTTCTGAACACGGGGCAACATTTGGCAGTCAACGGGGTGCGCATCTTGACGAGACACAAATGACAACAATGGTGGAGGCGTGCACACGATGTCGTTAGAAAAGAAGGAGAAACGACTACAAATCGCTTTATTATTTTTCGGCCGGCGGGGTCGGAGGGGACAGGCGCGTTGAGCGTCCGTCGTAATCCCGGCGGCTTGCCCAGTTCCGGTCATGCGGGCTATGCTGTCGGGGCTCCATTCTGCCTGCCTAGTTACATAAGCATTTCCGGTTAAATACGAATGCATGAACCCCTCCCCGTGTTGCAGGTGGCCCTGCACTAAAGTCCTGGGGTAGGGGTGCCTATTCTCATGTTCTTACTCTAACTAGGAGCCTCACATCCGCCCTCCTAACTCTGAACCTGACTTTAGCACTCGCTTTATTATTTTTCGGCCGGCGGGGTCGGAGGGGACAGGCGCGTTGAGCGTCCGTCGTAATCCCGGCGGCTTGCCCAGTTCCGGTCATGCGGGCTATGCTGTCGGGGGTTCATTCTGCCTGCCTAGTCATATAAGCGTTCCTGGTTGGACATGAATGTATGAACCCCTCTACGTGGTACAGGTGGCCCTGCGCTAAAGTCCTTGGGTAGGGGTACATATCCCCGTGTTCTTACTACAGCTAGGAGCCTCCCACCTGCCCTTTTACCTCCAAACCTGACTTTGGCACTTGTCCTAACCCTAACCCCAGCCTAAGGCCACCTGTACTATGGGAGGGGACTTATTCCTGTTCCCTACTTGCATTCTTATAACCAGAAGCCTTTTTAACGTAGCATGTAAGAAGACAAAAGTCCCTCTTTTGATTAAAACTCTATCAGAAGGCACTTAAATGCCCGAACGTCAAAATGTAATAACATACAACATCATTCCACGACCCTTAACGTAACATGCGGCATGACTAGTTGGTGGCATTTTACGGACCCTTGCGATTTCTTCGTTAATGAGTGCCAACCTATCCATGCATTCGACAGTTTGATTTGCGAAATTGGGTCATTATTACATTTTACAGAAAAAATTACTGCGTCTGGGTTCCCACAATTTTTTGCAAACATGATTGGAACTACCGCTGGATCTCAACCAGCCGTATTTATGCACCTGTATTCATCGACATCGCGTGGACGAGGTTTGTTGGCTTCCGAGTCAACTGATTATTTCTTCACCAATAACATGTGTACACACTATTAGCGGGTGCATTTTATGAAACGGATCGGGTTTCCTTACAAAGGTCATGACAAATAGTTGCAACCTTTGTTAATGTAAGGAAGATAATTATCTTGAACATTTCTGGGTTGCATCCGAAAATTCGTTGTGACGCAGGATCCTGTGCAAATGTGCATAGAATTATAAAAAAGGCGAGCAACCCAAAACCAGAAACCCTAGATAGTAAGACTGTCAACTTTATTTGACTTCTGAGCAGTTCACTTTGCAGAAAATTCTCAGGCAAATCTCCAAATCATCAGGAAGTCAACAAGAGCTGATTGAGGATTCCTCTCAAAATCATGACTTTCTTCCATGTAACATTCTAATTGGACTCTCTTTTGCGCACTGAGAACGTCAGCATAAAGAACTCGTTAGCTGTGCGAATTTGTAAAAGAAGCGGCTTGCGGAGGAGAAAGAGTCAGTCAGTCGGATGGTTCTGTTTCGGGTTTGAACGACGGATGCTCCCGTTCGGCACCGGAGGCTGCGGGGCTCACCGCGCAACCTTCACAGGTACAAGCATTGAACGATGACAAGACAAACGGGAACGGGTTTGGACACCGCGGCTGGCAAACATGAACGACCTATCTACGCGTGCCACACACGAGCTGGCTTCCACACCATGTGCTAAACTAGTGTGATTGTAAACGGGAGGGAGCACAGGTGCAAACCGACGCGCGCATTAGCGACCCCGGCTCCCTCCCTCCCCCTATAGTTGGTGGAGGGGGGGCAGCGTCAGTCTCTGATGGTGAACATTCGCGCGCTGAAGCTAAAGTCTACCATGCCTTAAAACTGGTTCACTAACTGTTTCTGCGCCCACCATGCTGTGAGGCACGCAATGAACACTGGTGCTCGAACTGCCATAGAAAGGCCTAAGGGCAGCTTACAATAATGAGACATCAGAAATTTATAGGTTCCCGGTGTGGCCCTTAAACCTTAGGTGCTTAGAGTGTTGGCTATACATAAGCCTGCCCTTGTTAAGATGGGTTCGAATCTCACTAAGGTCGCAGAGTTCTCAACCGTTGGGTCAAAATGAATTATTCAGAACCTGCTAAAATACCTATTAAGTAAGCGCATCTAGTAGTCCTCAGGTTGATTACTTAAGGAGTCCTGCTTGGGCAGTCAGCTTGCTGTGTCGAAATTAGTTGCTTCCAATACGTTGTAGTAGGCTGGGCGAGTAACCTGACCTAAAAATGTGATTGACTGTAAGCAAGCCCTGACCTTGTTAATGTGGGTTCGAATCCCAACTAGAGCGCCACGTCTTTCACAAATGAGTCGAATGAATTTTTAGACTTTTTAAATGGGCCTCAGCTTTTTCAATTATCTTTCATGCCTTTAAGGTGTTCAGCCTACTTTTGTCGTTTTGCAGCCATTATCATGGATTACACTTTCATATTTTAGATCTTCACCTTTCGACGTAAGTTAATCCCCCCCCTCCCGAACTACATTCTTTCTGGTAAGGAAAAAGCTGGAATAAAATTATTCCTTTCAAGCGCCTGTCTTTCTTACTACATTGAATAAGCGATGGGTATGACATTCAAAAAATGACGTTCTAATACCAGTGAGGACTGGCCGAAAACGTTTTCTATGAGAAATCCCTAAACTTGGGTTCACGATTGGGTATCTTTACGTTGGTATTGAGTTTGTTGATTTTGAGCCAATTCCGAAATTGTCCTTTGATAGTTAGCACTCACCTCCGGCCGTGATTGATCCTTGGGCTTACTAGACAACCCAGTTCGGAGCCGGACTGGCGAACTTAGAGCCTAACAGTACACTACCCGAGGTTCGGACAATGTACGTTCATTTGAATTTCATTCGAAATAACGAAACACGGGCCTGAGTACAGTAGGCGGGCTAACTCATGAAATGTCAACCAACATTCCGAAATGCGTTTTGTTTCTAAAAGATTAATTAAATAGGGCTGTAAAGCAAATCATCATGCAGCATAATTCTATGATAATTCAGATACCTTGGGATGCCGGCTTTCGAGCGAATTTCTTTCCGGCTGCATGCAAAAACAGTACTCTGCACGGGAGGAATGTGCCAGGGGAGGATAGTGAGGAAGTGAGTGGACTTTGGGGGGGGGGGGGCAGGATGACGAGGACACGTTAAACAGTAAACGAAATTGGGAGAATGGCTTAGCCGCAAGCCATTCCGCGATGGTAACCGCGCGCGCCTTCGGTCTCCGCCGCCACCCGTCCGGAATCTAGGTCGTGCGGAAGGCGACGGCACACACTTTTTGACGGTCCTCCGAATGTACGAAAAATTAAAGTGATTTTACTGGAGTCGGCTGGCTTCGGGACGTCTAACTTTGTCTTACAAATAAAAATTTTGACTGCGAGCCTTTCTCACACATCTTTAATTTGCTAGAGCTCCCGCACCATCGAAATCGTTTTCAGATTGCTGGGGTTGGGCAACGGCTGTCCGAAATTGTTGACCCCGTCCTGCCCGCTCCTGTCGATTTTTGACTGGATGTGGACAAGGTGACTATTAATCTTGATCCTGAACGCCACCGCGAGCTTTTTGCACAATGATTCAGATATTTCCGACGAACTAACAGACAAACTGTAATAAGCGAGTCGGTATGTCAGTCAGTTATGAGTCAGGTTACTTAAGGCCAACGGATTGGTTACCTTAAAATTCAGCTTAAGTAGACTAGAGAGATTCAGTTGGGATGCATTGGAGGGTTTTTCTCAGTCAATTAATAACGCAACCTTGTGATATGTACATACGCTTTCTTGCCTGTTCAGAGAATCCCAACCTTTTCAACCATTCCCGTTGACCGTTAAAGGGGTCAAGGCGTCCAAAAAGCCCGCGATGGAATTACCGAACCGAAAAATGTTTTTCCGGATTCCAGTAACTAGAACTACCCGGTAAGTCACCGCTCGTACTTATTTGAACGCCCTTTCGAGAAATGTCACGTTCAACTGTTAGTTTCAACCACAAGTCCAGCGGCTCCTTCAGAATAGCTGCCTCAGTGAACTGAGCATTCTCAGTTGTTTTGGCCTCTTTAAAGTCTCTCTCAGAAGTGTTTAATGCAATTTGCGTTGAATTCTAAATAACAGGTCTCGAGTTCGAGCCTCGGGTGTGCCACACTTCGGGGTTGGGAATGGCTGCCTGATGACGGCTAGTAAGCCAGAAATGGCCATTCCAGTCTCCCTTGTCTTTGTCGGTAATGCCATTCTGCCTTTATCATACGCCGCCGTGCGGCTGTTGGTTGGGCTCGAGAGAGAGCCCGTAAGGCACAACGGAACGAATGAGTTCCGTAAGGACGATCGGTGAGCGCCCCCTACCATTTTATATTCCCGATCGAAACCGACAAGGCAACGGGCTCGTGGCCCAGTGGTTAGAGGCGTTGGCTTCTAAATAACAGGTCGCGAGTTCGAGCCTCGGGTTTCCATACTTCGGGGTTGGGCATGGCTGGCTGACGACGGCTAATAAGCCAGAAATGGCCATTCCAGTCTCCTTTGTCTTTGTCGGTAATGCCATCCTGCATATATATGAATTTATAAGAACATCGAAAATCAATAGGAAAAATGCATGCTACTTAAGTAGTCATTTTATGCTAAGTATGGTCTCTGCAGGAGGTCAAAAAGAAGTGCATTCTAAAGCCGACATCCCGGCTAGTCCGAAATGTTATAGGGTTATGCTGCATGACAATCAGTATTTATAACCCTACTTAAGTAATCCTTTCTAATCAGAAACGCATTCCAGAAGTTTGGTCAACATTTCATGAGATCGGTCATGCACTGTAACTGTACTGCTCTGTGGAGAACTTATTGAAAGCTACTTATGCTCACCAACTTGTCTTCTGAGTTCTGATACGGGAATTTTTGCATTTCCAAAACAGTCCAAACAATCTCTAGTTTTCGAGCTGGGCGTTGACGTAAAATTCGTATGCTGTGTCAATATTTGTTGGTTGGGGTGAGTATATACCGCCGATGCAACGGAATTAAAAATGTGCTATATTGGAGAGTGCGTCCGAGTGCCGACATTTATGGCGGGTCTGTTCTGTAATATTGAATTTGAACCATGGCCTGGACTGGAAGGGATGAGATAGTCTGATGGCTTCCATCTCGCTTTACGACATATCAAGTAATTTAGGAAAATTTAAAGGTGAAGTCGAGAAGGGCAGTTCGTGATGACTGAGCTCAGGCAGTCATGGAGGGTAAGTTTCGATTACGTCGGGTTTATCACTTGTCGAGGTACGAAGCTCAACAAGTAGAGATTTTCAAAATCAGAAGTCAAGAAGACGAAGTTGGTTGGAGAAAATTTACCGTGACAAGAGAGTGTAGACGGGGCAAGTGCTCTCACTAACTCTTCAAGTTGCCAGCCTCCTAAGCGGATGTTGGCGTGCTTGCGCCTGAGCTTTGTGGGGCTGCGATCGATCGATAAAGAGAGAAATATCGATCGGCGCCGCGGCGTCAGTGGATCAAACGTGGAGTCATACGAGCGCACGCGAAGCATAACAGGAGTGCTATACCAACCAAAATCAGTATGAGTAGGCGATGCTCTGAGAACCATGAGGGGAGGCATCCGCAGAAGTTGTATTGGAAAGTAGTATCAGTTTATGCTAAGTATAACTGACGGAGTACAACGTATTTCTAGACAGTCTGCAAACCGAACGAGTGCAGTTTTGGCCACCACATTTTGGGGAGAGGTAATTTCCAGTGAAAAGAATAGAAGACAGCAAACGGCCCTATGATATTTCCAAGGAAAGACGACTTAAATTATTTTAAGTGACGAAGATCTGGGAAAAATACGCACTATTTGCAATCTATCTTACCTAGTAGAAGGCATACTGTGGGATTGCGGTCAACTTCAATTTCTCAGATGAAATTTCGCTAACATCCTCCCTCCACGTAGCGCTCCCTTCAGTAGATGGTCTATCTCATGAAATGCCAGTCGAAGTTCTGGAATGTGCTTTTGACTCGAAAAGATTACACAACTGCGGTTTGATGTTAATGATCGTGCGGCATAATCCTAAGATATTTATGTCAAGCCAGGATGCCGGTTGTTCAACGAGCTTCTGTCCAGCCATCAACAACTTTACACTCTGCAAAAAACGACTACTTCCGTAGTGTAGATTTTGGTCGGATCTTATTTCGCGGCCGTACTTGCAGCTGACAAACCCCAGCCTAACCCCAACCCCTAACCCTCACCCCTAATCCTAACCCCCGACGCCAACCCCTAACACCGACCCCTAACCCCAACCTCTAACCCCTAACCTCAACTCCTAACTCCAACCCCTAACCCTTAACCCAACTCCTTACAGGTACGGTTACGAAGTAAGATCTTTTCTAATTTTTCACCATTGATTTTATATGGTCATATAAATTCAAATGTATTTTATAGACACCACACAAAAATATTCCTCTTTGTACTCATTAGGAACAAATTTCGTCTTCTGTATAATTTGTAAATGAAGAAAGGATATCTTTCGGTTTTGAAAGCGCTATTTAATCCGCAAATAATTTTGAACCCAAACAGCCGTTATATTTGCACTCATGGCTTGCAAAACACATGCTGTATGTCTTTCATGTTAAAAAAGTGATGTATTTCTACATGCCACTAAAAAGACATCATATAGAGCTCATAAAATTGAGCAACGGCTCAGGCTCTTGTCTTGTGTTGTGACGCTACTTAAGTAGTCTTTTCGAATCGAAAGCAAATTTCGGCATTTCGACTAAAATCTCATGGGATAGCACATCTACTGAACGTGTTTTACGAAATCTTATTGGACTGCTGACTGCCGCATCTGCTGCCCTCGCAATTCGCGAGATGGGCGGTCGCTTACGTGTGTGCATCTTTAAATTTTCAGCAAACGTTCCGCGTCCGGTAGAAGAAGGCACGGAAAGAGAAACCCCAGAATACCACAGTGTCCTCAGAACTCAGTGCGAACGGACTTCGTCGAGGGCTCCGAAGACTGCCAATTAGTTGACATCGAGTGTGAGAACCCTAAAAAACGCGCGTCCGCTCTGAAAAGGTAATTCAAACAAAATGTACCCCAGTGCACGCCCAGATAGTAGAGATATCATTTAGAAGGAAACTGCAGAGACGACGAGACAGCAGTTCTGTTCAACACAAGTTTCACTTTATCCTTATTCAATCCTCCTCCTTCAACCCGTAGCCGGACTTCCAGACGTTCAGCTAAGCTGGTCAGTTGGAGCAACTCGGTCACGGCCCAGCCCACCGTCAGAAGTGATGAAGATGGAACTGAGAATACTGGACTCCTTGTCAGCGAGGATTATAGCGAAGTACGTGCAGTTAGACGACGTCAAAGGCCCGAGGTTGTCACTGGACCCCTGCCACGCCAGTCAGTGTCACCGATGGTGCGTGACCGTATTAGGCTAATGGAGACGGCCAAACGACGAATCAGGCAGCGGACAATTCTCATTTGCAACCGACAGGCGCAGCAGCAGCAGCAGCAGCAGGGTACCGCACCACCTCCGCAGCAGTCGTTACAACGTGGCTGGACAGAACTTAATCTCCTGCCCTTCTCGATGGATGTCGGTAAACAATCAGTTGTTTTGAACTTGCCTGTTGTACCGTACGACAGTTCGACCGTCGGTGTCAACGATGTCCACAGCGAGCTCCGCAGCAGGTTGAGTGCGGGGGCGGTGACTTGCGCGTACATTAATTTACAGTGGTAGTGGGCTAG